CAATTCAACCTCATAAATTATCCAGTCTCAGGTATTTCTTTACAGCAATGCAAGAATGGCCTAATATAAATAGATTTGAAAAAAGCACCTTGCAATGCTCTGGTAAATGGGAAAACCAGTTTGATTTGACACAAAAGAAAATTTACCCTCAAAACAACAAAATGAAAAAGAAATGTTATCAAGTCCCAGTGATCTCATGGCACCTGCCAAGGGCTGTGAGTCTGAAAATGCTCCCTCATTTAAAAGGCAAATTAGCCACAGTCAGGGGGCATCAACTACCAAGCACACTTTTTTTTTTGAGACGGAGTTTCACTCATGTTACCCAGGCTGGAGTGCAATGGCGCGATCTCGGCTCACCGCAACCTCTGCCTCCTGGGTTCAGGCAATTCTCCTGCCTCAGCCTCCTGAGTCGCTGGGATTACAGGCACACGCCACCATGCCCAGCTGATTTTTTGTATTTTTAGTAGAGACGGGTTTTCACCATGTTGACCAGGATGGTCTCGATCTCTTGACCTCATGATCCACCTGCCTCAGCCTCCCAAAGTGCTGGGATTACAGGCTTGAGCCACTGCGCCCGGCCTCTTGAAAACATTTTTATGGGAAGGAGAAGGCAAAAAATATCAACTTTCTCTCCATGCCATTTGAGGATGTGTTGTGCACCGTCTCAGCTAATTCCTGTAACCACAGAGAAGCAAAAGCCAGGCAGCAGAAACAACAGATGATCACACACACATGGCGGGGGTTAGGGATGTGTAGTTTGGACCCAGGTTGCTTCAATTAGGGAGATACCTGAGGGCTACCTGACTCTGTCTCTTCTCTGAAAACAGCCTATCACCCACAGCCCTGGGCTGCGGCACTTTACCCAACTAGGCTGGGCAAATGAGCTTCTTTCCTGTGGATTCTGAAATAAAGACCTGAGATGTAGGATGGAGCATGCTGGGCACTGGGGTGAGAGTTCATGTTCTGAAGGACTATGGTCCAATGGCCAAGCTAAAAGATGTGAGGCCAGAACATTGCAGGGGCTGTGGGTAGGAGGAAGGCTTGTCAGGCCTTGCTCACCAGGCAGGCATGAGCAAGAGCAGGTCTCACTCAGCAGGACCAGATGCCCATGGTTCCCCAGTATTACATCCTTGTATAGGGGCCTCTGGGTCAGTCCCAAATGTGTTCATTTCTTCCAGGAGAAGGTCATGGTCCTATCCTTTAAGGCCACCAATGCCCAGGAAGTCAGAGGGAGCAAGTCCACTTTGAGCTGTTGGATGAGATTAGAACCTATTGTGACACCACTAGGACAGGTGCAGAGACCCAGGTCCAAATTACTGAGCTCCCCTGAGGGTGGAGTTCTATGCAGGGCTCATGGAGAAGCTAATGTGGTCTCTGGACACCGTGCAGTTGTGACAGTGAAAAGGTTCCCTTACACATGGGAAAGCCTTCCCAAGTCCTGGTTTCTGCTCCTGGGGCTCCATCAGATCAATTCGCCCTACATCCTCACATTCTCACAAGCAATCATCCTACATGTGAGCCTCTAGATTAAAAACCAGCACCCAGGCCGGGCGCGGCGGCTCAAGCCTGTAATCCCAGCACTTTGGGAGGCCGAGGCGGGTGGATCACGAGGTCAAGAGATCGAGACCATCCTGGTCAACATGGTGAAACCCCGTCTCTACTAAAGCTACAAAAAAAAATTAGCTGGGCATGGTGGTGCGTGCCTGTAATCCAGCTACTCAGGAGGCTGAGGCAGGAGAATTGCCTGAACCCAG